GCCTTCTCTTTTTTTTTTTTTTTTTTTTTTTGGGGGGGGGGGGGGGGGTTGTTATAAAAACTCTTAAAATTAGATATTAAACACTTCATGTTTCACCCATCTTTGGAACATATATAATGTGGAAAAAAATGAATTAATCCTTACTGCTCATAACATAAAAAAATGATTTATTTTTTATTTTTTTTTTTAAGAACACATATGAATATATTTCTTCTTTTCGTGTCCATCTCACTTCTTTCTTTCTTTTTTTTTTTTGGTAGTACTCACATCGTGTCTGTTCATGTAATTATTTCTTCTTTTCTCCCAAACTATTGTCACAACCCTTGAGGGTTCCAAGTTCTTTTGGGTATTAAAAGATATTTTTAGTTCATATATTGATTGTTGTTCCAAACCTACATTTTTCTTTGTATTGTCTCTTTATCATGTAGGCGGAAACATCAGTTCTGAACCTAACCAGTTGAAAGGATGGAATTATTTTGTACCTGGCTGATAACTGCAAACCAACAAAGATCACCAATCTGTAAATACCTATATATATAGATTCCCTTCACTACAATTTTATATTATTGTTGTATCAATGTATGTTATTCAGCCGATTGGCTTCTTGCCAGTGAACGCAATGTGTGTTCAGCATGGGTTTTTTGTTCTGGTGTTCACCTTGTAAAAATAGATCAGGATCAGTATGGTCTCCGTTGTGAAGTATGAATTGCATTTTGGTCTGTGCTACCTTTTCGTCTATGAATAAATATAGCTTGCCTAGAATGTTTGTTAATGTTATGTTATCCTTGAAAATGAAGGGGGGGGGGGGGGGGGGGGGGGGGGGGGGGGGGGGGGGGGGGGGGGGGTTTGTTCGGTGTTATTCAGTCACAAAGATTTACAGATCAATTGTTGTTTTGTAATTCTCACACTTCATGGATTCATTATCGACCTTGAGTTACCGTGTCAAAGTATTGAGTTCATGTTTTGAAACTTTTGGTAATTTTCTGGATGACAGTATCAGGCTCTGAATTCAGAAATTTGCAAAACATGAAAAACAAAAAATAAAATTATGCAAACAATGTGAGGTTCAACAAACTCCTGACGATTATTGCAGCAAATCAGAAACATAATTCTAGTTTTTCGATTGCAGTATATCTCAGCAGAGATGACTCTGTAACAAGCACAGAGGTAAAGAGAAGAAACCACCAGTTAAGATTACAAGCATGTCATAAAAGAAAGAGAAGAATCTTCATTATGGTATTATAGTTTATTTCCTTAAAAGCATGCTAACAGGATAACACATGCACCAATGCTGAAAGGCTTCATAATATTAGATTTGAGATCATCGAGTGCAAAAACAGATTTCCCACGATGGGTTTCGAGGAAAGAAAAGTGTCCTGCCAAACCAGTGAAGAAGATATTTCATCAACCCATTGTAAGGAATGGAACTTATTCTTGTCACAAAAACTTGATGGTAAAAACCATTGTAAGATGAACTATTCTTGTCACAAAAAAACTTTGTTGTACCTCAAGGACCAAATAAAGTTCAAACCAAAAAAAACTACAAATGTTAAAGGTAAAAAATAATCCACATCATATACCACATTAAATTTTCAATCATTCATTTTTTTTTCCCTTCCAAAAAAACTTTACTATTTCAAGCTAAAAAAAAAAAATTCATTCCCCCACCACACTAACTTGTGTAATAAAAAAAAATTTATTCCCAAAAAAAAGGGTCACTTTAAAAAAAAAAAAAGGAAAGTTTAGTAAAAACGGCCGCATGGTTTTAGAGGAGGTTGTGGAACAGGGAGTGGCAAAAAATTAACCTGGTAACAGTAGCTGCATGCTCACATTATCACAACAGTTGAAATGGATCGAGGCATTTCCAACCATGAGTAAATGACCCACAATTCACAAATAAGGTTAAAATGCACGTCGCAATTCTCCCCAGAGAGAGAAGAGAGAGAGAGAGAAGTTCTTTAAATGAATGAACCAACCCATTAAATACCTTAAACGATCCTCCATGCATGGGACGCAACCTGGGTACAAGAGGCACTACTAAAACTGTGTTTCAATAAAAACCCCCTTACATTTGCAGGTTGAAGCTGCCTTCTTTACCCAGCTTGCGTCCCACTGCATGGAGGTATCCGTTAAGTATTTTAGATGGTTCTTCAATCATTTAAAGAACTCTCCTCTCTCTCTCTCTCTCTCTCTCACCGCCCCCCCCCAGTAACATAGTAATTTACTCCTTCGTTACTCAAGCTAAAGAATAAAAGTGTAGAATAACTAAAATCCTTCTTGAATACTTGGCGTGAATCTAGTGGGCCAATTTTTTTTATTATTATTTTTATTTGGGTGGGGATTAACGGGTGCAATTATCTGCCTCCTTTTTAATATATTCCACTAAAATTTATTATGCAAAAGTCTTAGCTTTCATTTATTTCCTTTGGAAAAATTAAAACCTTTCTCATATTGTATTCTTTAGATGGATGGAAAAGTTGCCCTTATAACTTGCAGCATTTTTGAAATAAGAGAGTGCCCCCAAGTACTCAATCAACATCAGATTTGTAATTTTTGAATAGTATAGTAACATTATTCATTGTCATTAGAGCAGAAACATTAATTTTGAACGAGCTTCATCAATCCCCTTGAAATTTGTAATTTGATTGAAACACAATTTTTAAAATCAGACTATCAGATGTGAAAGATTTTGGAGTGTGTCCAAAAATTATGGTTCTCCCTCTCCCACACATCTCCTCTCCCTTCCTTCCCTCGTCTCCGTTCCTTGGCACAACACAGTTGCGTAGAACAAGTAGAAAATGATTTTCTACTATAAGCCACAGCTGACACTTTTTTTTTCCCTTCAATAATGACATGCTCATAGTAAAAATTAATAATCTTATTGTGAAAAATGTCCAAAGGGAAAAATTATCTAAGGGGACTAACGGTTGCAATTATCTCCTCCTTTTTAATATATCACCAAAATTATTTGCCAAAAGTTAAGCTTCATTTTATTTCCTTTGAAAAAATTGAAACCTCTCATGATTTTATTCTTTAGAGGATGGTGTTGCCCTTAAACTTGAAGCATTTTGAAATAAGAGAGTGCCCCAGTTACTCAATCAAACATTCAAGTTTGTATTTTGTATAGTTATAGTACCATATTCCATGTCAGGTTAGAGCAGAACATTAATTTTTAACGACTCAAATCCCTGAAATTGTAATTCATGAAACGACATTTTAAATCAGATATCAATGTGAAAGATTTAGGGTTGTCAAAAAAAAAAAAAAAAAAAAAAAAAAAAAAAAAAAAAAAAAAAATTACGGTTCGCCCTCTCCCACACATCTCCTCTCCCTTCCTCCCTCGTCTCCTGTCCCTTGCAACAACACAGGTTGCATAGACAAGTAGGAATGATTTTCTAACTTATAAGCCAACAACTGACACTTTTTTTCCCTCAATATATACAATGCTCATAGGAAAAAATTATAATCGTTATTGTGAAAAATGTCAAAAGGAAAATTCATTGCTAAACTGGATTTGTAATTACAATCTTTGGGTTCCTATATAGTGAGCATAAGCTGTGCTCAGCTCATTTGCTTCTGTAAAACAGGTGAGGAACATAGCAGGGGCTAACATCGCGATGGATTTGTTCCGCTTGTTACAAGTGGTCGTGAATGATGAGTTCAGCCATGATGAAGACATTCTGGAGTTGTTGAAGCTGGGAGGAGACCAAACACACAACCCAATAGTCCGGCTTTTTTCTCACAGAGCGGTCTAACACCGTTCGTTTTTGTTCCATTTGAAGAGTATGTTGTGATTGATCTACTATTGCTACAACACATTGCAAAGTATTATTGTTTTTGATGAATTGAAATTATGCTGCTATTGGCAGGATGAACTAGTTATTTGTTCATGAATGGAATTTGTTTAAATCCACCTACTCTCCACCACTTCACCACTTAAACTACTCCACTAAACCTTAACCCACTACACCACTTACCACCTCACCTACCCACTAAAAAACCTAAACCACTTACACCAACTTACACCCTCCAACTTCACCTACTCCTTACCTACTACACACTCACCTCTGCTATATATAGAATCAATGAATTCATTGTAATATAATCAATATAATCAATCAATAATACAATCTCTATTTCTCTTATTACATTTAAATTATCTACATGTATCAGAGCAAGGTTAAAGCACTTAGAATTTTCGTTCACCTGCGGGACGCAAACCTCGCCCTTGCCGCCCGCCGGACCTCAACCATATCCGCTTATTCTACACCATACCGTTCCCATTCACTGCCAATCCTCTCTCTTGAGCCAATGTGAATTCTTCTTCCTTCATAATCGCACTAACTGTTGATTTTTCCTGGGCAAACCTGCAAACCACAACACTCAATCTAGCTTCTCTCCATGCTCATTTGCCTCTTGTTAGATCCTTCGCCCCCTTCGCTGTGGTTGGGCTTCCCACACCTTGAGCTTCACCTGCAGCTTTCACTTCACTGCAGCCTTCGGTTTCACAGCAGCTTTTGGCTTCCACCTGCCTGGCCTTGCCCTGCTGGGCTTCAACAGCGCTTTAGCTTTTGGCGCAGTCAGCTTGGTCTTAGCCGTAGCCTTCTTTCCTTTTGTTTTACAGTTTCGCTTTGCAGCAGCCTTCGCTTTGCTTCCCTCTGGTCTCCCCAAGTTCCACCTTGAGCGCCATGATTCATTTATAGCTGAAAATTATAAGCGGGAAATATTAGAACAATGCCCCAATAGAAAGATGCAGCTGCTCCTTACCCTACTCTGGAGCACTATTAAAGGTGATCTTTCAACATGCCTCACCTTTAAACTTGGACGAATGACTGGAGCCCGTATAAGGTTTTGCATCTCCTATCCAGCAAGGAAAGAAAATGCCGTGAGCATTTGATTTATTTGACTTGGAAGTGGGCAACGAGACAGTTGGCTTTTACCTCCTGGTCTAAATCCTAGCCCATTGAGCTTGATACAGTCCATTCTTTGCATAGCCATATTATGGCTGTTGGCCTCTCTAGCCTACCATTTCCTTCCCCCTAAGCTTAGATAGCAGCTAGATTATTTGGTGCATCGCCTATCATTTTTCCCCTTCTTTCTCTACATGGCCTTGTCCCCCTCTCTCTCCCCGTTATTCAAAATCATTATTTTATTTATTTCCTCCAAACCACTTTCCTTATTTTCCCCCATCTTCATTTTGATTTCAAAAATATATTTTTATTATTCTTCTTAAATTTTTCTTTACATTATTTTTAATTCTTTTTTCAAATTCCATCATACCATATACTTGCACACCAACCATCTTTTATTTTATCTCAGGATCAACCCCGATACAATTTAAAAAAAAAAAAAAAAAAAAAAAAAAAAAAAAAACCACAACAACACAAAACCACAACACCACAAGATTTTTTTCTTTCTGGCAGACGGCCACCCACCGACCTCACTTTTTCGCCTTATTCGCCGGCTTTTCTTCTTGCCTCCGTCCTGGCGGCCCTGACGGTGTCTGCCTCCGTGTTCTCCCTCTCCACTGGGCACTATTCACTCCACCCTGCTCCCTCCACTACAGCATATGGCGAACCTCCAAACGAACATCACAGGCAGTCTTCCGTCTTCAGCTCCTTGTTTTCTGCCCCTTAGTACGCTTATCTCTGCTCGCGCATCCTCTATACATCTTGGACAACCCAGCTGGAATTTAAATGTTGCACCTCATTTGTCCTACTCTGCAGCCGGTTCGACAATTTACCGCCTCATGTTTCACGCATACTCAGAGTATAGATTAGCCTCAATATCAATTGCTCGCATTTTTTGCTTCCAGCGACCGCATCGGAAATTCAAATGGGAGCAAAACCAGAGGAATGTTTGGTTGCGGTTCACTGCCACCCAACCAGTTATCTTCTCTTGTGGGCTCGTTCTAGTTCTGGAAGAGCGTAGCAGTTCTGGGTACTGGACGCAAGAAGAGGCCAGTTTTGGTTCTAATGTTTCAGCGAATAGCAAATTTCAGACTGTAAATGTTCGAAAATGGTTCGTGACAATGGCAATCAAAGTTTCACAGTTTCCTCTCTCCGCAAGGCAGAGTTTTTTCAGCAAGGGTTAGTTCAGAGGTTCAAATTAGCCTCATCCTCAGCCCTTCGTCTTGGTTAATTACCGAGGCAGCCACGCGTATCGCCGCCTTTCCGCCGACAAACCGCACGCCTTTCATGCACATTTTTTTGGACCAAAGTGGACACGCCTTTTGATGCCCCTTTTGATGCACGCCTTTTTAAAAAATTGAGCGCACCTTTGAGATGCGAATTTTTTAAAGTCGACAAGACCTGTAAACTTCCCGAACATTTATTCGTAGCTCCTTTATGGTCCCGACAATCACTCTGTAAAATCTTTTCCCGACATAGATTCCGGTTGTTCTAACAGGGTCGACAGACTCTGCTAAACTGTTCCCTACATAAGATTCCGGTAGTTTCTACACGGGGTCCTGACAAACTCTGTAAACTGTCCCGACATTGATTCCGGTTATTTCTACAAGGTCCCCAGCAACGACTCTTAAACTGTCCACCAGACAAACTTCACCACATGTCTAGCTAACCCAAAACCGTTTCCGAATGACCCCATTAAAACTGTCTTCTAACATCGGCTGACACCCACCAGCTGTCCTCTACACGTTATGACACCACCATACATGTCCTCTACAACTTCTTATGACACCCCCATTACAGTGTCTCCTACCTCTTTATTTTATGTATTTTCTTGTTTGTTACCTCTCTATCAAACTCAAGTTGTAGTTCTATCCCCCTTGATTTCGGGGGTTAAAATCCATACTCTCCACCTACTTCACCACCATTAAACCTACTCACTAAAACCTAACCCACTACACCACTACCACCTCACCTACCACTAACCTAACCACTACCACCCACTACCACCTCACCTACCCACTAAACCTAACCCACTACACCACTACCACCTCCACTCACCTACTCCTTACCTACACCACACTCACCCTCTTTCTATATATAGGAATTCATGAATCTATTTAATATATATCAGATAATCAATCGAATAAACAATTTCTATTTCTCTTTAACATAAATTCTCTACAATAATTCATAATATTGTCAACCATTATAGGATTTCCTGTTTATAACAAAATTGTATTTTTGGACCTTTCAGTGAAACAATTGAATTGCCTAAGTTTCCAAAAACCAAGTCATAAAATTAGGTTACTATGCTAAGAAGCAAGAAATGTGGCACATCTATGACCTGTGCTTTCATTATCCTGACACAGTTGAAACACTTTCTAGAGGTGTCTCAACCATTTTTAATATTTTTAAAAAACAGACATATTTAAACACTGGAGATACGGTGTCTCATAGCACTAGACACGCATTAAACACATCTGGGATACACAATTTTAAGAAAATAACTGGGGTCTATCTTACATGAACTTGGAGTACGGCGGTGGTGCGGGTATATATCTAAGTCGACTCGTCAAATCTAAATTTAAGTTAACCGGGAAATTCTGGCAAAAAAATATATCATATTTTTATATTTTAATTAAGTATGGAGATTAAAATGTTTATCATGTAACTTACAGTTAAAAAAGACATTCCTACCAATTATACAAACAAATGAAACATAATAGTGTTGTTATATACAATATATAAGTCAGTTTCCGCCTGAAAGTATCCACAACACATATCTCATACCCTTGTCTAAAGGTCAAGTGTCCGACAGCGGGTATATATTTTAAGCAGTCCGTATAATAGATAGCCTCTCGGGAGTAAGAATCAAATAAAATCTAGAACAATGGGAAAACCTTTTAATTCTTCCTTCTAGATTTTAAACCCTAAGATTTAAAACCTTACATCTTTTATCTTCTCTCCTCCTCTCTCTCTCTTTTTTATTTTTTTTGGGGGGGGGGTTGTTAATAAAACTCTTAAAATTAGATATTAAAACTTCATGTTCACCCATCTTTGGAACATATATAATGTGGAAAAAAATGAATTAATCCTTACTGCTCATAACATAAAAAATGATTTATTTTTTATTTTTATTTTTAAGCACACATATGAATATATTTCTTCTTTTCGTGTCCATCTCACTTCTTTCTTTCTTTTTTTTTTTTTGGTAGTACTCACATCGTGTCTGTTTCATGTAATTATTTCTTCTTTTCTCCCAAACTATTGTCACAACCCTTGAGGGTTCCAAGTTCTTTTGGGTATTAAAAGAATATTTTTAGTTCATATATTGATTGTTGTTCCAAACCTAACATTTTTCTTTTGTATTGTCTTTTATCATGTAGGCGGAAACATCAGTTCTGAACCTACCAGTGGAAAGGATGGATTATTTTGTACCTGGCTGATAACTGCAACCAACCAAAGATCACCAATCTGTAAATACCTATATATATAGATTCCCTTCACTACAATTTTATATTATTGTTGTACAATGTGTTATTCAGCCGATTGGCTTCTTGCCAGTGAACGCAATGTGTGTTCAGCATGGGTTTTTGTTCTGGTGTTCACCTTGTAAAATAGATCATGGATCAGATGGTCTCCGTTGTGAAGTATGAATTGCATTTTTGGTCTGTGCTACCTTTTCGTCTATGAATAAATATAGCTTGCCTAGAATGTTTGTTAATGTTATGTTATTTGTGAAATTTACATTTTCTTGTATAATATGTTTACCAACCCACTGTTTGGAAGAAGATTCAGTCACAAAGATTTACAGATCAATTGTTGTTTTTGTAATTCTCACACTTCATGGATTTATTATTCGACCTTGAGTACCGTGTCAAAGTATTGAGTTCATGTTTTGAAACTTTTGAGTAATTTTCTGGATGACAGTATCAGGCTCTGAATTCGGAAATTTGCAAAACATGAAAACAAAAAATAAAATTATGCAAACAATGTGAAGGTTCAACAACTCCTGAAGATTATTTGCAAGCAAATCAGAAACATAATTCTAGTTTTTCGATTGCAGTATCTCAGCAGAGATGACTCTGTAACAAGCACAGAGGTAAGAGAAGAACCACCAGTTAAGATTACAAGCATGTCATAAAAGAAAGAGAAGAATCTTCATTAGGTATTATAGTTTATTTCCTTAAAAGCATGCTAACAGGATAACACATGCACAATGCCGAAAGCTTCATATATTAGATTTGAGATCATCCGAGTGCAAAACAGATTTCCACGATGGGTTTCGAGGAAGAAAAGTGTCCTGCCAACCAGTGAAGAAGATATCATCAACCATTGTAAGAATGAACTATTTCAGAAATTTGCAAAACATGAAAAACAAAAAATAAAATTATGCAAACAATGTGAAGGTTCAACAACTCCTGACGATTATTTGCAAGCAAATCAGAAACATAATTCTAGTTTTTCGATTGCAGTATCTCAGCAGAGATGACTCTGTAACAAGCACAGAGGTAAAGAGAAGAACCACCAGTTAAGATTACAAGCATGTCATAAAAGAAAGAGAAGAATCTTCATTAGGTATTATAGTTTATTTCCTTAAAAGCATGCTAACAGGATAACACATGCACAATGCCGAAAGCTTCATATATTAGATTTGAGATCATCCGAGTGCAAAACAGATTTCCACGATGGGTTTCGAGGAAGAAAAGTGTCCTGCCAACCAGTGAAGAAGATATCATCAACCATTGTAAGAATGAACTATCTTGTCACAAAACTTGTGTAACCATTGTAAGAATGAACTATCTTGTCACAAAACTTGTGTACCTCAAAAGACAAAAGTCAACCAGAAAAAAACCAAATTGTTAAAGGTAAAATATCACATCATACACATTAATCAATCATATTTTTCCCTTCCAAACTACTATTCAGCTAAAAAAATCATTCCACACACTAACTGTAATAAAATTTCAAAAAGTCACTAAAACAAGAAGTTAGTAAACGGGCATGGTTTAGATGTGGAACAGGAGTGCAAATACCTGGTACAGTAGCTGCATGCTCACATTATCACACAGTTGGAATGGATCGAGGCATTTCCAACCATGAGTAAGATGACCCACAATTCACAATAAGGTTAAAATGCACTCGCAATATATATATATATATACTTCTACGCAATAAAATTGATGATGATCCAAGTAGCACAAACACTTGTAAGGGGTCATATCTGAGCTAAACACATTGGAAACTGACACCTCATGAATACTACTAAAAATGTGCACAATGTTCCTTGGACATGTCCCAATCTGGAAAAAAGGTTTTATAACTTCACCATTTTGCTAGCACTTCTCGGTCATTTTCTGGCAAATGACTGATCTAGTGAATCCCTTAATAGGAAACCTATCCACGATTCTTAGAAATGCAAGTCACTCACCAACTTGTTCTTACAACACTAATAAAAAATGCATCATACACAAGACCAACACAAAGTAAAGTATGCAAAGGACGCTTCTAATGCAAGGAAAAAGCATGATTTCAAAGCTAAACAAAATACAGTAAGAAAGTAATAGAAATAGAAGCATGCTTTGCGTACATGATATTTGTTAGGTTTCATTTTGTTAGGATTAGTCTACCCATGTGATAAATATGGGTCCCATACAATTATTAGGCTTGTTTAAACATGTATTTGGGTTAGGATAGTGGAGTCCGGAATCTACTAGGAAACTAATATGTGTATGATTTGATTACCTAATTGTATGAAACTAAGATTCTCATGGGTAGGCTATTATAAATAGTCATGTGGACTATAGGGTTTTCTTGAGAAAGATTAAGAGAGTGGTGAGAGAAAAAAGTAACGATGTAAGTGGTGAGAAAAAATAATGTATGGGTACGAGGTGAGCAAGGACACAAACTACCCTTAAGGGGTGTGGGTTTTGAGTGTTTTGGCCATATCACATGTATTCTCTATTGTATTCATGTAGTGGAAGCTCTCTATCCCATGAATGTAGGTGTTTGGACTGAACCAAATAAATCTGTGTGATTATTTTTCTCTTTGAAGAGTGCGTGGGTGTGTTTCCGTTTGTGTTGGTAGAATGTGGTATAAATCCTAACACATTTCCCATGCCATAAAATTGCCAATGTAAGATTGTGAAATTTACATTTTCTTGTATAATATGTTTACCACACACATTATGATGTTGCCATGTCTGTATCCTATTTTGCTAAGATTTTCTATGTTAGCGTGTCTTGTTGGACTTGAGAAGAGTCTTTTTAGTCCAAAGTGTCCATATGGAGTGTTTTCCTAATTTATGTTGGTTTTAGTATGGTGTTGATTACTTTTACTCATGTTTGGTTATGTTAAGACTATTTTAAAGCTTTTGGAATTGGTCTTTATAAGTGGTCTTTTGCGGCCAAGAATAGTCTTGATAGTCAAACCTCCATATGTCCCTATTTTGAATTCCTAGCCTGAGCTCCAAAGTGAACATTAAAAAAAGATACAACAGCTCAAATATACCTGAGAGTGCTATGGTACACATTGGTAGCTCTATTCTTAACAGCTTAAGCATTTAGGGCAAGTGGTAATGCAATATTTTCCTTGTAAGGATTCAATTCAATGGACTGGAGTTTAAAGAAATTGAGATCAGATGAAACCCTTCTTCTTTTCCTTGTATTGGGAATGATATGATACAAATTCTCAAAAGTACAGTGTCTCCAATTTTGATCTTGAAAGTGAATGTATTTAAATCAAAACTCAAAATGTTCAGTATTGCTCAATGTAAGGTAGTTTTAGGCTAAAATTGATAAGTAGACTTCCTTCCTTTTCCACTGAATTTAGCTTCAAAGCTTGTATTTTATTTCCTAATGCACTGAAATTATTATTTGTTAATGAACTGATTCTGTAAATTATTAGCTAATGTTTTCACCAATTCATCAATTCATTGACCTAGGATTAACTTGCAAAGCCAACACAAATATCACTCTAATGACAATTGAACTATCTTTTTCTTATACAGGTTATGACAACCACAAACACAAACAAAACACAAACACAAACATGTCGAATTCATGGAGTTCAAAAGAACCAAAATCTAAATAACATAATTCCCCCAGAGAAAAGAGAATCAAGAAATTGAATCATGGGGGAAAAAAAAACCCCCATAATTGCAGTGAGCAAATTAGCACAACCCAGTAAGAAAACCCAGAGTTGCAGTGAACAATTGAGTAGAACCCTCAAAGCAAACTTCATATAATATACATGTGTGTGTATATATATATAGAAAGAGAGAGAGAGAAGAGAAACCCATAAATGCAGTGAGGAAATCAGCAAAACCCACAAAGGAAACCCATAAATTTTGTGAACAATTGAGTAAAACCCAGAAAGAAAACTTCATATAATATATATAGGTATGTGCGTATGGAGAGAGAGAGAGAGAGAGAGAGAGAGAGAGAGAGAGAGAGTTCTTACGGAGACGTAAGTGCAGGTGGGGAGGACGGACATGGAATGAGAGTGGGCGTGAGTGAAGGCAGAGACGCAGAGATGAGAGGCCAAACCGAGGCCTCTCTTGGAGGAAGGAACGAAAGTATGAAGTATGTCCATGACTTTGCCGCCATCTCTGAGCTGGTACTGTATGTAAGCTTTCTTGTCCTCCGTTTCAAACCTCTGCTGCCTCTCGTTCCAAACTATCTTCGGTACCTCAGCCCCTCCTCCGCTCACCGTTGTTGCCATCTCTCTCTCTCTCTCTCTCTTCCCTCTCTCTCCGAAATTCTCTTATCAAAATCTCAACCCTTGTTAAATTTTTCATCAAATTGGATTTCAAATTTAACTAAAAAATTTAATTTGATAGGAATTAGACCATTTTTAATCCTTTTATCAAATTTAAATTTAATAAAAAAATTATTGAAATGGTACTCTAAATTTTGATTAAATCAATATCAAATGAAGGAATAGTTAAATTTTTCATCATAACCTTTCATCAAATTTTATAGGTTGTTAGGCTGAACATTCTCCCGAACATCTTTTCAGAATTTTCTTTATCTGAATATTAAATTTTACTCATGGTTGGATGTCAGACGAGACAACCGGACTTGTAATAAGATTTGATGCAAATTTTAAAATAACCATTGAACTGCATTATATCACATCAAATTTTTACTTAAATTTGACGAAAAATTTGATAAAGGATTGAAGATGCTCTTACTCCAATCCATTCATCAAATTTTTATCAAAATCTTTTTTAAAATTCCAATTTTATCTTAAATTTCTCTTTTCATCAAATTTGATTAAAAAAGATCAAGTCTAATGCTCCATCATTTTATATTTTCATCAAACAAAAATTTGATAAAAGATTTGATGAGTTCTCAATTTGATAAATAAATTAAAAAAAAAATTCTCTCGCTCAACTTGATGAATATTCGATGAAAGGATTAGAAATAATTTTTAATATTTTTTTTATCAAATTTAAATTCAATAAAAAAGAAGATGAAGTATCGAAAATGCTCTTATGTAGGGTTTATGTAGGGTTTAATTACCATTTTACGCTCTATTTGGACAGGGTGTTTTGTGAGGGAAAAAAAAATGAGATAATGGCAATTTTTGTTTAAATAATTGATGAGCCGAGTAATGGTAAGAAATGAAGAGGAATACTAGCGAAAAAGACAATCACACAAAATCTAAGTTTTGTTTCTTATAAAACAATGGTGAGATTTGATGACAAACTAAATTATTTTTACAAAAAGAAATTATAATATCAAGATTATTATCCCTCTAAATACAAAACAAATAAAATAAAAAGACAGGTATCTTTTTTTAGTCATTGTCCATCAAAAGAAGAAAATGATAAACTACAATTATTAATTTTTTTTTCCCATCTCACGATTCGAATGAAGTGTTAATCCTCAAATAATAGGAGTTATATATGGGATGATTTGGGATATTTTAAATAAGTGTATTTTTTAATTTTTATAAATAAAAAAAATGTGTAGAAAAGTAGAGAAAATTGTTAGAAAAGTAGAGAATAAATGTTGGTAGATATTGATTGATGTGACCTAAATTTGATGTGATCCAAACAAGTATATGTATGTAAAAAAATATATATATATTTTTAGTATATGCCAAACACTTACTTAAAAAGTCAAAAAATTACTAAAAAAGTTAAAAAATTTATACTATTTAAAGATAGCTTGTGTGGGAAGCTACCAGGGCAAAATAATACTATCCAAAAAGTCAAAAAGGTAAAACGATCATTTTAATTTTACTATAATATTTTATTATACATCTTTTTGTAAAAAATTAAAAAATTATTCTAAATATACATCTTTTATTCTCTACTTCTTTAACTAAAAAGTAAAAAATTACACTTATATAGCACATCATGAACAACTACTCTCAATGTTCAAATGTTGTTATTTTAATCCTTAATAGGTAAAAAAAAAAAAAATGTTTTAATTTAATCTTAAAAGTTGTCGTTAAAGCTAAAGTAAATGTAGGAATTTAATTAACAAAAGAGAAATTTGTTGAAAAATCTAATCTGACAATTGTTTAAGGCACTAAATTTAGTCAATATTTTTTTATTGGTAAGAGATCCACATTTTATAAAATAATTTAGTGAAAAGTCCATTTATTATTTTAAAGGATATTTTATTTTTTATTTTACCCCTTAATCTATAATTTTTTTAACTATTTGTTTAATCTTTTAAACTGTCTATTCAAATATTTTATTTGTTTAATTTTTTTGACTATCTGTTCAAATATTTTTTTATCTGTCAAATTTGTATCTATCTGTTGGAATATCTATTTGTTATTTGTTGAAATTCACCAAAATTATTTTTTTCTATATGTTATTTTATCTATTGAAAGAGAGAGAATCTATTTAAATTTTTATTTTATCTTATTATTTTATCTGTTGAAAGAGAAAGAAGGAGAACACAAAATATTTGTACAAATAGAAAACACTTTTACTTTCTCTCTCTGTCTGTCTCTCCACAAACTCATTTTCTGGGTCTTTGAATTGCAATTAGATCAACAACAAAAAAGGAAAGCCCAAAACAAAGCTAGGAGAGAAAGAGGTGGGTATGGGATGTCTTTCGGGGTTACCAAGCACGCCCAATAGTTCAGACTCCCGATCTCCTAATCTGGTTTCACAAGTGCAATGCAAAACATAAATGAGAGTCCAGATCCAGCAATTTATGCAGAAAATCTATTTTATTGCAAAATATTTACTCGAAAATGGACTACATCACTAGATCTCAGAGTCGCCACCTAGGAAACGGGTGACTCATGCCAAAGGTCACTGTCCGTCATAACCAAAGTTTCTCGGCTTCGGAACTTAGGTATGAGAGAGGAAAGTCATAGATTGAGCATCTCCACTCACCCAATCAAAAGATCAGCCTCTACTAAATCATGATATGATTTTTATAGTCTCTATATGTTTATATTTTGGTTTTAATATTGTTAATATTACTATCTGAGGCAAATAAATACAGATTGTATCACTGGTTTTGGTTATGCTATGATTTCATGCATTTTGGAAAAATCTTTTTTGCTCTGCTCCCCAAAAAGGGGTTTTAAAAGCATAAGGATCAACCGCATTCTAACACAAGCAACACAACCTCCATGCACTATCATCCAAACAAATATTCCACTTAAGCACATAGCCATATGGTATAATGTAGAATTTAATAAATAACATGTACATGTGGGATGCTAAAACCGAAATAATGCTCACCTAGTACTCCTTGGAGGCAAGCCAAAGAATATGTCAAAAATATATGCATGATCCTATATATAAATAGCTAATACAATACACCCACAACATACAACTAAGGATTCGACTACTAACATATGGCATGTATATCATTTAAGGCATGAGATAACACATATAATCACTTTGGAAACGATAAGTCCCATATGAACTGAATCCATATGCATGAAAAATGGATGCAAATCATGAATATGATAAATAAAATGTGATGGTTTACAACATATATGGAAAACATGTAAGTGAAAGGGATAAAGGACATAGGATTGAAAGTTATTACAACAATCAAATAAATAAGACGTGAGATTGGAGATTGTTACAACAAATAAATGAATAAAAGACGTGGGGTTAGAGATTATTACAATAAATGAATAAATAAAAGACGTGGTGTTGGAAATTATTACAACAAATGAATTGATTCAGTCAAATTGAGTTGAATCTAACAAATCATATTAAAATAAAGGATAAATTACAAATACACCCTCTGAGGTTTGCTTAAAATACAAATTGTCCCCAATGGTTTGAAAAATTACAAATACTTCATTATTAGAATTTGTTATTTAACAAAATTAACTAAAAAAATGAAATTCATAATTGCTATCCTATATAATAATAAAATTACCTAAATTATTAATTGAAACATATTTTTAACATCATTAAAAACTGTTAATTGACTTGATGATTTATTAATAAAAGAGGCGATTTGTTATGAAATTAAAAACCTCAAAGGGTGGAATGTAATTTTCAAAACCACAGGGGGCAATTCGTATTTTAAGCAAATCTCAAAGGGTGTATTTTTAGTTTACCCTAAAATAAAAGCAAATTACAAACAGCAACCACAAATTGACAGGAGAACATTTCTCAGAAGCTGCCCTGTTTTGCTCCACTTTACCTTGGGACAAGGTTTACTGAGCCGTACAAAAAGTCATCCGGCTGAATGAAAATAGGTTCGGCCAGTCCAAACCTCCGAGATGAACGCTGTTTTGTGCAAAACAATAATGTAGAACCAAAACACACCTTCCAGGAGGTGCTCATCCTCTCCAACTCTCTTTTTCATAGATAAAACCTTAACTCACAATTAGCAATACAAGCAAACTACATACAATATGATATTGACAACAATCAATCAAATGACATGAATTAGAGGTTGGAAGAAATTCAAGCCCTAGAAATAAATGAGAACTTACAATCATCTCTTTGTGAATAAGGGTAGGTTAATATCCAAATTCATGTTATTCATCAGAGAGAGTAGATTAATGATCATTATTTCTTGGTGGAAGCTTTGCCTTTAAAGTAAGAGATTCATCAAAGACTATTGAAAACTTCTCTCCTATTCATGGAATGTTTCCATCCCTTTCCATCTTCACAAAAGATTGATGGGAGAGTTTTCAATATCTTTGACCTAAAACCTCTTAGTTTACTTCCAAGGAAAAATCAATCACAATGAAAGCTAACAACTCTCCTAACACCAAATCTTGAGACTCATCCAACTAGTTCTGTGCCACAACCACAACTACTCATGGGAATTAAGCATGAATTGAGACATATGAACTCACATGTTTGGATGATAAAAAAGATGATGAGAAAGTGAATGAAAAGCAAAGAAATTACACTACATAAGTAAACTTGGGGATGGGTGGCTACTTTTAACTCCCAACTATTTCCACAAAGTTCTAATTAACACATCTATAACCACAATGAATTATACTTCTAAAGGCAAGAAAAACAGTGCCAATATGTAGGAAAAGGAAAGAAACAATCAACTCAATGGATGGTGGCTACTTTCTACTTTCCAACCCATCCATGAGGACTTATCACATGATTATAAAAAGCTAACAACAAAATTCAGGGCTTAAAGATGAAGAAGTAGAGAGGAAAAGTGAGAAAAGTTCAAAAGTTTCACCTATTTGAAGAAGGTGAGCTTTTTTGTTATCAAACTCCTCATTGGCACCCTCAAGGTCCTTTAGATATAGCTTATGGTTCTTACAATCCTTAGCAAGAAGCTTAAATTTTAGCTTTAATGGAGTTTGGGTGGTTGA